CCTATCCCCTGTGCGCCTTCCAGTATGGTATATATTTCAATGACTCAAAAGCAGGGCAAAATATGGAAGCTGATAAATCGTAAATTTTTTTTAGAAATATTCCGTTAAATAGAATACAGAAAAATGTACCTTATTACAACACATACTCGCATACATATACATTTAAAAATCTATAAAAAATATATAATAATTACAAATATTGAATTTATTACATTTCATACATAATAAATATAAAAACCGCTTATGAAATATAAATTGTAATTATAACATATTATTGGCAAAAATAATTTTCATAATAATTATTATTATAACGCTTGCAGCTATACAGCTATCGAACATTATTACATCAGATTCCGTAATCTTAAAAACCCCGGCTAATAATTTTCTTTTTTTAAATAATCTTCTAAAAAATGTTTTAAAAATATGAATAAATAAGAAATTTTTTCTTAGAATTTTTCATAAAATAAAATTATGAAAAATTCTTGAAATTTTCTAGGAAATTATGAGATGTTTTTTCACCAGGGTTAAACGCAAATCCGGGAAAAAGGGAAAAAAGAGGAAGTCCCGAAAGGCCCCTCGCACCGCCGCAGTCACCGTTACTTGTCCGAAGGACGAGTACGCCGCGGTGCTATCCCGGGCCAAGAGGGAGATCCTCCTCGGGGACTTGGGAATCACGGACATCAGGCGCCGCGTCGGTCAGACGGGGGCCTTTGTCCTTGAGATCCCGGGCCCCGAGGGGAAGAAACAGGCGGACGCCCTGGCACTCAGGATGTCCGACCTGTTTAAGGACCAGCCAGAGGTCCACATTGCTCGCCCACAGAAGATGGGCGAGCTAAGAGTCCGCGACCTGGACCCCTCCGTCACGGCGGAGGAAGTCATCCAGGCCGTGGTCCAAGGAGGAGGATGCTCTCCCACCGAGGTTAAGGTGGGAGACATCAAACCAGCACCGGGTGGCCTTCAGGCCACTTGGGTCCGCTGCCCGTTGGAGGCGGCCAACAAGGTCGCCCTGACTGGCCACCTCAGAGTGGGGTGGTTCAGGCTCAGGGCCGACCTGCTGGACGAGCGCCCCCTCCAGTGTTATAGGTGCCTGGAGAGGGGCCACGTAAGGGCCAAATGTCCCAGCGGCAACATAGACCGCAGCGGGACTTGTTACCGCTGCGGCACCGTTGGACACGAGGCCAAAACTTGTACGGCGCAAGTTTGTTGCGCCGTATGCAAGGCGGCCGGACGCTCGGCCTCCCACCGCATGGGGGGCAAAGCGTGCAAAGCCCCCAAGAGCGGGGGCAAGAAAAAGAGGGGGGCTGCCCCGGCATCCCCCCCTAAGCAGGGAGGGAACACACAGGCGGTCTCGGCGCCGCCGCCTGCCCCCGAGAAGGACAGTCCCATGGGGATGGACTGCGACCCATCACCGACCGGTGATGAGTCGATGAAGGTTGGCCTGCAGGAGTGACGGGTTTTGTGGACTCCACAATGTCTACGAAACTCCTACAGGCCAACTTAAATCACACCCCGCAGGCCCAAGATCTCTTTCTTGCGGACCTGCACGGGTGTGATGCAGGGCTGGGAGTGATAGCGGAGCCGTACCGGATACCCGACTCAGACCCCAACTGGGTCGGGTCGACGGACGGCTCCGCTGCCATTGTTAGAAGGCACTCCCCGCGCTCCCCCCTCTGTCCCTTGTGGCAAGAGGGCGGGGTTACGTCATCGCGCGGTGGGGAGTGTTTAGAGTCGCGGGGGTCTATGCGGCCCCCAGTATGTCCCACCCCGAGTTCCGGCAGTTATTGCTGGAGATGGGGGCAGGCCTGCGCCGATGCCTCCCCCATCCACTGTTGGTGGCCGGGGACTTCAACGCCTGGAACAGGGCTTGGGGTTCCCGGACCACTGACGTATGGGGTAGGATACTGATGAAGTGGGCGGCGGAACTGAACCTCCAGTTGCTAAACTGGGGGTCAGTCAGCACTTGCGTGCGCGCCCAGGGGGAGTCCATAATAGATCTGACTTGGGCTTCTCCTCGGGCGACGCACCTGATAGAGTCCTGGGAGGTGACGGACAGGGAGTCCCTGTCGGACCACCAAGTCATACAGGTGGTCCTGACCGCCACCCCCAGAGAAGTGCTACTCCGCCGCCAGCGAAGGGGCCATAGACCCCCGCGGAGATGGATCCTGTCCAAATTGAACCCGGACAAGTTGGCGGCGGCAGCAGCGGTGGACACGTGGCTGGATCCTCCCAGTCACGTGGAAGCCGAGGAGGAAGCTGTCGCGATCGGGCGCATGGTCACCGATCTTTGCGACGCGGCCATGCCCCGATCAAGGCCCGCCCCTCGTCGGGTGGCATACTGGTGGAGCGAGGTAATCGCGGAGCTGCGCAGTAACTCCAACGCGGCTCGCCGCGTTCTCCTCAAGGTCCGACGAAGGGCGGGTGGAAAAGACGGAAGCACTCGGATGGCCGAGGGCGAGTATCTAGCCGCAAGACGCTCGCTCCAGTCGGCCATCCGAAGAGCCAAGGCCAAGGCCTGGGAGGAGTCTTTGGCGGAACTGAACCGGGATCCCTGGGGGCGCCCATACCGTATAGTTCTGAATAGACTCAGGCCGGCGGCGTCCCCAATCTCGGAGAAGCTCGAGCCCGAGTTTCTCGGCCAAGTGGTGGAGGCCCTCTTCCCAGTTAGGGAATCTAACATTCCTGGGAGGAGGGACCCTCCCCCTTGGGACGAGTCGGACGAGATCTCGGGCAGAGAGCTCTCCGACGCAGCCAAAAGACTGGGGGCCAAAGGCAAGGCCCCCGGTCCGGATGGGATTCCCGGCCAAGTATGGGCCTTGGTCTTGGGAGAAGTGGGTGCCCGCCTGAGGAACTTGTATAATACATGCCTCAAGACGGGCACCTTCCCCTCGGCGTGGAAGAAGGCCAATCTGGTCCTTCTCCACAAAAAGGGGAAGCCGGCGGAGCAACCCTCGGCCTACAGGCCGATATGCCTGTTGGACGAGGTCAGCAAGTTATTCGAGAGGATAATTGCTGGCCGAATCGTCCAACATCTGTCGCGGAAGGGTCCCAACCTTAGCGAGGGCCAGTTTGGTTTCCGGGAGGGTCGATCAACCACAGATGCAATTATGCATCTCAAGACCCTCTCGGACCAAACTGTTGGGGAGGGCGACGTGGCGTTGGCGGTGTCGTTAGACATCGTCAACGCCTTTAATTCCCTCCCCTGGGAACACGTGGGGCGGCCAT